TGGTGGCAGGTGCCTGTAGTCCCAGCTACTCGGGAGGCTGAGGCAGGAGAATCACTTGAACCCGGGAGGCGGAGGTTGCAGTGAGCTGAGATCTGGCCATTGCACTACAGCCTGGGCAAAAACAACAAAACTCCCTAAAAAACAAAAACAAAAACAAAGCAAACAAACAAACAAAAACCACTATGCTGAGGAAAAGAAGCCAGACACCAAAAAAACCATATGCTATATGACTCTACTTATATGCAGTCCTGGGACAGACACACTGAGCTTTGGCTGGAAAAATCATTACAGGGCTCACCTCTGACAGCTGGGGCGGGGACCGACTGGGAAGGGAGGCTTTCTAGGATGATGATATTGTTCTGTATCTTGTTGCAGGCGTGGGTTACACAGGTACCTGTCTATGTCCAAACTCATCAGACTGTTCACTTAAGATCTGTCCATTTCACTGTACGTAAATGTTTTATTTTACCTAAAAAATGAAAATGTAAAAAAAAGGAATAAATGAATAAGTAAATCAACACAAACCAGGTCTTTCTCCTTGGCAGCTCTGCTCACCTCAAATGGGTGGCTTTTTCTTGGGCCTCCAGGGCCTCCCGGGTCCAGCCACAGTCACCTCCCCACTAGGTTCCCAGCTGCCACCTCACCCTCTGCAGTCTGTTCCCCACCAGGCTTCCAGAGGGAGACTGGAACCAACCTACGTAGGATCATGACGCTGTGCTCAACACCCTCCCACAGCTGCCATCTCTCAAATTAAAGCCAGAATACATCCGGGCTGCACCTGTGGGGCCTTGCACACCAGCCTGCAAAGCCCCCGGCCTCTGCTCCTCACCTCCTCCTTGCTTTCTTCTTTTATTTATTTTTTTTTTTGGAGATGGAGTCTTGTTCTGTTGCCCAGGCTGGAGTGCAGTGGCGCAATCTCAGCTCACTGCAATCTCAACCTCTCGGGTTCAAGCGATTCTCCGGCCTCAGCCTCCCAAGTAGCTGGGACCACAGGCACGCACCATCACACCTGGCTAATTATTTTGTATTTTTAGTAGAGATGGGGTTTTACCATGTTGGCCAGGCTGGTCGTGAACTCCTGACCTCAGGTGATCTGCACGCCTCGGCCTCCCAAAGTGCTGAGATTACAGGCATGAGCCACCGTGCCTGGCCTTACTCACTTTCTCAAACAGATCAGAGCCTCCCTCCATGATGACTGCTCCCTCTGCCCAGGAGGCTGTCCTTGGCCAACTGCTTGTTTCACACCTCACCCGCTTCAGGTCTGTTCAGACATGGAGATCCCAGAGAGGCTCCCCCAACCGCTGTGGGCGACAGCCAGCTGCTCCTGCACACTCACCTTTCCTGCCTCTCTTCCTGCTTTATTTTTCATGGCAGAGCTCTCCGGCCCCTCCGCCTGTATCTACATAACGTCTGTCCTCACTTGAACGTTAGGTTCCAGACCAGGACTTGGTCTTGCTCCTGGCTGTCATACAGCAGATTCTCAATGAACCTTGCTTGAATGACAGCATGGGCGACCAGGACACTTTGCTCTCCAGCCCTGCTGGTTGCATCCACAGCCCTCCATCTCCCTGCAAACACTCCGGGCCAGCCTCTCCCCAGACACACCCCTGAACAGAACACCTCCACCCGGGGCGATGAGGTTTCCTTGAAGACAGCTTTCATGTGCCCCAACCTTGGATTCCCCCCATTTTTAGGGCACATAGGCCTTTCATACTTTACTGACAGCCCGGGTGTAACCAGTGAGTGACTATTATTGTGGGAGGTACTTACCTATCTTGGCCAAACAGGGCTTTTCCCATTGTGGGGTGTGGGGGCACCCAATAAATAAACCATCCAGATGCTTCTGAGTACACAGCAGTTCCTAACGAGCCACCTGTCCTCAAATCCCAGCTTCCCTTTTGATCTCTTTCGCATCTTTCCTCACAATCTCCATTCACTTTCACAAAACCTCAACCTGGACCCTGAAGGACACTTCCCTTTCCCCAAGCCTGAATTATTCCACGTGAAGCTCTCCAACCTGTATTATTAATAGAATTCTTGGCTGGGCGCAGTGGCTCATGCCTGTAATCCCAGCACTTTGGGAGGCTGAGGCAGGTGGATCACAAGGTTAAGAGACCGAGACCATCCTGGCCAACATGGTGAAACCCCATCTCTACTAAAAAAAAAATACAAAATTATTAGCTGGGTGTGGTGGCACACACCTGTAGTCCCAGCTACTTGGGAGGCTGAGGCAGGAGAATCGCTTGAACCTGGGAGGCAGAGGTTGCAGTGAGCCGAGATCATGCCATTATACTCCAGCCTGGCGAGAGCTAGACTCCATCTCAATTTAAAAAAAACGAATTCTCAGGAGAAACTGTTTAAGATGGAGATTCCCAGGTACAACCCCCAAGAGATCCTGAATCAGCAGGTGGGAACACGAAATGGTACCTTGAACAGATTCCAAGCAACTGACGTAGTGGCCACCCTGGTTCAGGAGTTCTTGGAGAGGGGCAGGGAGAGCCAGAAGAAAACTAGATTTTTAGTGAAAAGACCTCAGCTTCTGGCCTGGCGCGGTGGCTCACGCCTGTAATTCCAACAGTTTGGGAGGCCGAGGCGGGCAGATCACTTGAGCCCAGGAGGTAGAGGCTGCAGTGAGCTGAGATCGTGCCACTGACCTCTTGGCCTCTGTGTGAGGGAATAGGAGGGGAGCGAAAGGTTTTCATCTTCCAGCTGTTTATAAAAATATAAACTGGCACTTTGAGATAATTTGCATCACCCAATACCTCTTCTAGAAACCCCAAGATCTGTGGGACGTCCTTCCACATCGGTGGAAAGCCATTCGCAAAGAGGACAAACGGTTTCTCCTCTCGTGGATCATTAAGAGTTCTCAAAGCTTGAACCCGTATCTGATAACCAGTCATGTCTGGCTGGGGGCACTGTTTGAAGGGGGAACCCTTTCCTCAAATTTAATAGTCCATGCAATCCTCACCTACAAAAGAGAAAACTTAACAGGACACAATTTGCTAAACTTTATTTTATACATACACGTTTACATTTACTAGTCATGGTGTCAGCCTGTTAACACAATGAAGCCGTAATGGACCCGTTTTGAAATTAGAAGTTGGACAGTTGCAGGCTTTGGTCCCTTCAAGAGTGCAGTTCACCCCTGGGTTTCGTTTGGCACACACCCCAGGAGCACCTCGATGCACACAGCTGCGTAGCTGCTCTCTTTTCTCTTGTATTTTTCAGTCAGACTCATTCAGGATTTTGAAATGAATCACCACGAGAAATGTGTTTTAAAGCTGAATCACTGAGAACATCTAACAACTATTCACATTCTTTAGCACAAAAACTGAAGTCGGAAAAGATGCCCTGAAAACTTGCAAGGGCTAATACTCTATGATAGAATATTACTACTGTTCACCATGTTAACACGTTTACTTGCTACCATACAACTGAAGCATCACGGCAGAACAAGAGCATGTGAATGACGAAAGGAAACTCGCTTTCAGGGCGTCAGATTATAGGACATGCACAGGACTGAATTTCTTCCACTTCTAACCTCGCTTATCAGTCGCATTTACAAGAAACTCAATTTTAAGCAAAGAGATGCCAGAAATAACTAACTCAAGATGTGTACAAAAACAAGTTAGCCTATAAACACAAGGTAATATTCTGATAGTCTTCAATGTGACGGGTTTGCTTTCCAACATATCTGAGTAGTCACTTTTGAGTTTTTTAAACACGTGAAGAAAATAAATTCAGATTACATCTTTGTGGACATCTAGGATACAGTCTGGAAACCATTAACTCAGGAACCCTGCCCTCTCCCCTACACATGGGCACGCAACCACACACACACACACACACACACACACACACACACACAAATAATGACACGTGGTGGTCTGGTCTAATATAGTGTGTCTAAATTCAGAGGGCAGACATTAACAGCCTCGATCTCTGATCTCTTGACCTGGTTTTGTTTGTTTGTTTGTTTGTTTGTTTGAGACAGAGTCTCACTATGCCGCCAGGCTGGAGTGCTGTGGCGCAATCTCGGCTCACTGCAACCTCCGCCTCCCGGATTCAAACAATTCTTCTGCCTCAGCCTCCTGAGTAGCTGAGATTACAGGCGCGCGCCACCACGCCCGGCTACTTTTTGTATTTTTAGTAGACGTGGGGTTTCACCATGTTGGTCAGGCTGGTCTCAAACTCCTGACCTTGTGATCCACCCACCTCGGCCTCCCGAAGTGCTGGGATTACAGACGTGAGCCACCACGCCCAGCCAACAGCCAAGTTTTAAAATATTCTTTCCCCTCTTACTTATATATAACGTGAGTAGTGACCTTCTGCTACAAAGATGGTGACGTTTGGTGCAAAGATGGTGACAGTTTGGTAGATGGATGGAATTACAGCTGAGGATCTAGGAATACCTGCATCCTTCCCTACAATCACCCCGCTTCCCCACAGGATTCCTGAGAGGGCTCATCCCAAATGGGAATCAAAGTGCCATTTTTACTAACAGACTCTAAAACTCAAAGACTTCGAGGTCTAGGCAGACATTCTTTTTCTCTAAAACTAACTCTTGGGACCTCCTGGCTAGATAACTGGAGGATGGAAGCTGGAGACTGAAGGGGCAATGAAGCCAGGTTTGCAGTGAAGGTCCTGGCTTAACTTACCCCGCTGGTTACACGAGAGAAAGGCAGGAGGGAGAATACGGCAGGGCCACCCAGCTCTTCCAAACGCCAGGGCCTGCAGAGGTCGCTGACCATTCCGAGTAGGGAGCGAGGCATGCAGGAGAAAGGCTGAACATGGATGAGTGTAACAGTGACCCTGCTCATGCATGAAGGGGAATGAATGTTCTAGAATTTTCCCAATCTTCTTACCAACTCTCCTGACTCCGAAGGGAAGGTGAGTAGAGGAGGTGGTGAAATGGCAGGCCTGGTAGAGAAAAGGGCATAGAGGTCTACCACCCTTCCCCAACTCCCTCCCACCCAAGACCTCACCTATCATTTACCTCAGAGCCAGATCTCTATCAACAGGGTCCCTAAGAGAGTCCAAAGTCTTATTTTATTCAGTGACAAGAGAAAACTTGGTTGACTTGGAACTTCTTCCTTGTTCTTTCAACTCCTCAGTACTGGTGGTCCCCCAGATCAAACCTTTCTGGATTCTGCAAATAAATGAGAGAACAGCTCAAGAAGGGAAGCAGAGAGGTGTTATTAGGAAATGCATTACTTCCAAGAAACTTCTGGGTCCCTGAACATTTCTATTCCCCATCCAGGCCTCTAGAAAATTCCACCCTTAAAGCCACATACCCTGCAAACACCATAACTCCAAAGGATTTTTTTTTTTTTTTTGGGACAGGGTCTCTATCGCCCAGGCTGGGGTGCAGTGGTGTGATCTTGGCTCCCTGCAACCTCCACTTCCCAGGTTCGAGCAATTCTCACGCCTCAGCCTCCCCAGCAGCTGGAATTACAGGTGCCCATCACCATGCCCAGCTAATGTTTGTATTTTTAGTAGAGATGGGGTTTCACCATGTTGGCCAGGCTAGTCTCGAACTCCTGACAACAGATAATCTGCCCACGTTGGCCTCCCAAATCATTAAATTCTTTTTTTTTCTTTTTTGGAGACAGAGTCTCACTCTGTCACCCAGACTAGAGGGCAGTGGCACAATCTAGGCTCACTGCAACCTCCGCCTCCCGGGTTCTAGAGATGCTCCTGCCTCAGCCTCCCCAGTAGCTGGGATTACAGGCGTACGCCACCACACCCAGCTAATTTTTTGCATTTTTAGTAGAGACGGGGTTTCACCATGTTGGCCAGGCTGGTCTTGAACTCCTGACCTCAGGCGATCTGCCCACCTTGGCTTCCCAAAGTGCTGGGATTACAGGCGTGAGCCACCAAGCCTGGGCCCAAACCATTAAATTCTCATCAAGGAAGATGGGTCAGATGTAGTGGCAAATGACCACAGTGACACTCATTGATAAACAACCGGTCGGTGGGTTTGCTCTGTCATCTCCTGCCCACCGGATGTTCCCAGCATCAGCCTTCAGGGGCTCCTGGGAGGGCAGTCTGGGCTCTTACCCTCCTCAACTGGTGTGTCATCTGCCTCCCGCCATGCACCAGGGTCCTCCTCATCACCCGCTTGACCCACCACCTCCTCAGGTTCCTCTGCCCCACCTGCCACTCCTAGCTAGTCCTGCCTCATCCACTTGCTGGATGACAGCCCAGTCACTTCTGCTGTCATTCTCACCATTGGTGGCACGCCGAGGAGAGCCTTCTGGCTTGGCCTTCAGATCCCTAGAAGTTGAGGCTGTTGCCTCGGCAGACTGCTGGCCTCGAGGGGCCTTCTGAACTGATGCCTCCCTTCTTGAGCCCGGCCCTTTCTTTGGCATCACCGGCTTCTTCCTGCCATCTTCTGAGTCGACCAAGACATAAGAGACAGGGCCCAAGCTCACCTTCTTCTTCTTCCTCATGGGGTTCTTGGCGGAGACCCAGGCCATGGCCTTCTTCTTTGGTGGGCTTTCATGGCCACCATCTTGGTCTGACTCAGAGGCACCTCCTGGGCTCTCGGCTTCTGCCCGGGCATCCTGAGATGGCTCTCTGGGACCCTTCCAGGCACATTTCGCCATGGGCTTCTTCAAAGCCAACTCCTCCTGCTTCACACAGGGCTTTCTGCTGCCCTTGATCGGCTCTGAGATTGCCATGCTTTCAGCATCACCCGCCTCAGGATCCTCCAAGTTGGCCGTGCTGTTGGAATTGATGCCTTTGGGTTTTTTCCAGGGCACTGCTTCCTGCTTGGGGTTCTTCTTCTGCTTCTTTCTCCTGGAGCGAGTCTTAGCTCCAGCCTTGCGAACCAAAGGTTTGGGAGGGTCATGCTGGTCTTCCATGGCATTCCAGTTGTTGGGGTTCTCCGTCTTTAAGGCAGAACCCACCTCTGTTGCAAGCCCCGGTTCTTTCTTGACCTTCCTCCCTGCTGCTAAAGCCCAGGCTGTCATCTCCTCGAACTCAGCAGCCTCGTGGGCCCTGGCTTCCTCCCGGCTGCGGATCTCAGCATCCATGCAGAAGATGATCTGTACCACCGCTCCCAGAAGCACCCCCAAAGCTTCTGCCCAGTTCTCTGGCGGCTGATGCTGGTTCTGGGACAGTGTGGGGTGGTTGAGCTGGAGCAGGCGGACCACATCCTCCCAGGTGCGTCCCTCGGCATCCAGGAATTCATTCAGATTTTTTAAAAACTCAGCATCCTGGGTAGGGTCTCTACAGACCACTCTCCAGACACCACCCCTTCCTGGGAATTCACGGGGGATGGTGCTCAGATTCACACCTTCACCAACCTCAATGAGGGCAGCTTTAACATTCTCTTCCCTCACAAAAATCTTGTTGAGCACGCGGTACGGGCCCAGTGGGGAGAGGACCCCATTCAAGGTCTCTTCAATTTCTGCTTGGCCACAGTCCTCTGGGATGCCTGTGACCAACAAGGACCTGTGGATGTCCACTTCCATTCCCCTGCACCAATCCTCCAGAAGGTTCATCGCCATGGTCTTGGACATTTAGCGGCTTTGACCCTACCACGTGTAGTAAAGAGTCTATTAGGTGGGCGTGGGCTGCAGCGGTCCCCAAAAACAGTAATCCTGCAAGGTGAAAAGGGAGCGAGGTCAGGTTTCCAGAAAGATGGCCAAGCTCACAGATCCTAGCTGCCCTCTCCGCGGCTGGCCTGCAGGAGGCCTCGCGCTTTCCCAACACCCTCCTCCCCAACCCAGACCCCGGTGCTCACACGTGTCCCAGAATCTGCAGCAAAAGGCTCTCGGTCCCCCCGCCCCGGGGCCTGACGCTCCGCCTGTCCGGCCGGGACTTACTTGGCAGCCCAGCCTCTGACCGCCCAGCCAGGCCAAGGAGGGGTAGCCGGAATGCAGCTGTTTCCCAGTCGCTGGCTCCGACTACCCCAGCGCCGCTGTTAGAGGCAAAAAGGACCAAGAAGGCGCCGTCCGCCCCCACTCAGGCCCGGGCGGGTCACGCGGCGTCCAGCCTCGATCCTGTTAGCTGCGCGGAGCCAAGGCTGGCGTCGCAGCGCGCGCCTGCGCACTGGCTCCCGCACCGCCGCTCGGGGGTCTTGGGCTGCGCAGGTGCCGACGTCTCCATGGCAACCGGGCGTGGGTTGCTAGCCCTCAGCCAGGCCTGTGTGCGGCTGCTGCAATTGGGCCTGGGGAGCCGGGTGCAAGAGTGGCCTTTTCAGGTTGCAGAGCAAGGGGGTCTGGATACATTCCGGTGGCGCCTCCACGGAGGCCCACTCTTTCCACCCAACTGGCCCTCGAGAACGGGGATTAGGTCGCTGAGAAGCGCTAACATCTATGGGTGCACCCACTGACTCTATTATCCTCTGCTCCACTGTTGGATTCACCCAACGCAACTCTTGGGAGATACTAGAAATCAAGGAAGGAGGAAAACGAGGCTTTAATCTTCTTGGGTTCCTCTAAAAAAAAAAAAAAGCCACAGCTCCTGTTGGGCTTGTAGCCTTCTCTGATACAAGCTCCTGAGTTCTTCTAGGAATTTCCAGAAACTTCTAGAAATTTCACTCTCCTCCCCGACCCCTTCTAGCATGAGGATAATGCCTCTCTTTTTCTTGTTTCCTCAGCGTGATGCAGGGCAGGTTCTTGGCGTCCTCCAGGCAGGGGACAATGTTACAGCTTAGTGACTGCCCCTACAGATAAGTGTTAGTCCAAACTGCAACCATTTTGTAAGCCCCCTACTATTTTGCAGGTCTTTGTCAAAGTGAAATATTCCACGAGGGTGCCGGCTGTGAGAAACATCCTGCCTAACCACCTGACCACAAGGTGGACAAAGGCCCAACTAAATAAACATCCCGATCATATTCTGCCGGGAGAAAGTGCAAAGAACACCACATTCCACCAGAACAAGGGCCAGAACCTCCTCAACATGGAACCACCTTATCAATATCCTGCTGGGCAGCAAGCCATACTGCCCAGACCCCTCCAACCCATAACTATAAGTACCCCCAGCCTATAAGCAGGGGTGGGCTCTGGCACTAGGCTCGTTCCCGACTCCCACAGGTGTCTGCAGTATACCTGGGTTGCTGTTGAGCCTCCTTCTGTCTGTGTCTTTCTTTAACCCTCACCTTCCCTCCAAAATCTAACGAGGAGGGCTACCCTCTAGGCAGTGTGCTGAGAATAGCAGCTCAGGGGCAAGGCTGCAGTCACATGTATACCCACTTTTAATGACATGCTAATTAAGGGGTGGGTTTTCAGAATTAGCTAGCAAATTAGCAGTAACTTATGGGTGTTGCCATGGCAATGGTAAACTGTCATGGTGCTGGCGGGCATGTATTATGGAGAAGGGCTTTCGGTGCCTTTTCAAGGTTTTGGTCAGTCTTCAGTGTGGTCCGCAGTGGTGTCCCCTGGGCCTCCTACCTCAACCTTGCTGCCCATGAGCAAGAACTTGGTTAATAGTATATTAAAGCCGGGCGCTGTGGCTCACACATGTAATCCCAACACTTTGGGAGGCTAAGGAGGGCGGATCACTTGAGCTTGGGAGTTTGAGACCAGCCTGGGCAGCATGGCAAAAGCCTGTCTCTACCAAAAACGCAAAAAATTAGCCAGGTGCAGATATTTATTTGAGAGCTTCAGCGTATGAGCAGTGAGTATTCAAAGCGGTGGGACTCCATGTAGCTACCTAGGGAAAGGCTTAGAGAAGGAGGTCACAGACAGTGCCCTGGGAACTCTGTGCTGAAGAAGAGAAGGAGGCAGCGAAGGAGACTGGGAAGGAGTGAACAAGGAGTTGGGAGGTGACCCAGGACAATGTGGCTGGAGAAAGTTTGTCCAGAGGGATAGAGGGGTCAGCCATGTTAAATGTTACCAAGAGAAAGAGCAAAATGAAGTCAAAGATGTACTATTCACTTTGGAAAGATGTAGACCATCGGTGACTTGGATAAGAGTTACCATAGAGGGCTGGGCGCGGTGCTCACGCCTGTAATCTCAGCACTTTGGGAGGCTGAGGCGGGCGGTCACGAGGTCAGGAGATCGAGACCATCCTGGCTAACACGGTGAAACCCCCATCTCTACTAAAAATACAAAAAAAAATTAGCCGGGTGTGGTGGCGGGCGCCTGTAGCCGCAGCCACTCGGGAGGCTGAGGTAGGAGAATGGCGTGAACCTGGGAGGCGGAGCTTGCGGTGAGCTGAGATGGCGCCACTGCACTCCAGTCTGGGCGACAGAGTGAGACTCAGTCTCCAAAAAAAAAAAAAAAAAGAATTATTCTAGAGAAGTAGTTGGGACCCCCATGGGAATGGGAAGAGGAACCTCTGCATCCAGGACATCTGGGTCCAGGAATACTAGTAGGAGTGAAGGTAGGAAAACGAAGACAGGCCAGGCATGGTGGCTCACACCTGTAATCCCAGCACTGTGGGAGGCCGAGGCAGGCAGCTCACCTGAGATCAGGGGTTCAAGACCAGCCTGGCCAACATGGAGAAACCCCGTCTCTACTACAAATACAAAAATTAGCCGGGCATGGTGGCGCATGCTTGTAATCCCAGCTACTTGTGAGGCTGAGGCAGGAGAATCACTGGAACCCAGGAGGTGGAGGTTGCGGTGAGCCGAGATTGTGCCATTGCACTCCAGCCTGGGCGACAAGAGTGAAACTCCGTCTCACAAACAAACAAAAAAAAGTACATTATTTTAAAAAAATAAATAAATATAGGTTAAAATAGTGAATTTTATGTTACATATAATTTACTACAAAAGTGAACAAATAATGCGTTACAGAATGGAGAGATGGGGGCAAGGTAGGGAGAGAAACGCCTTCAGCTTTGCCTCAAAAGCCAGGTGTCAGCTTCCTGCAGAACCAATATGCCTAACAGTCCTGGCTGCCCTTGAGGAATGCCACTCAACCCCAGTGCGTGCACACAGAATCAAAGTTCTGGAACTTTCTCTTCAAGGAGAAAAGAAGATATCTCAGTGTGTTTGAAAATTCTGCTAAGTTGTTGTCAGACCAAAAAATAAATAAATAAATAAATAAATAAATAAATAAATAAACGAACCAATAAAAGAAGAAGAAAATCATCAATCTGGATGGGATGAAAAGTAAATTTGTACTAGCAGTGGATTGTAAAACGTCAAAACTAAAATGAGATGGAA